TGAAACGTGTAAATTTTTACTTACTGGTTAAACATTATACTAATGTATTATTTTTTATGAGTCATATTTAGATAATTAATTATTAATTTTGGTTATCTTACAAAAGAGCATTAAGTAGGAGAATCTTTTAATATTGTCTAACAGATCCAATTTTATTCAATGACACATTCATTACTACATCCATCGGCTATTTAATCATTTCCATCATCACATTACTCTTATTCTTATAAAAATCCATCTCCACAATTCAATTATTATTTATATTAATTCAAATTAAGTAATTGATTATTAAATTGTAAACAAATACCTTGATAACAATCATCACAATGAAAAGGACAAGAGAACTTACAATTAAAACAACCATCAAATTGTATATTATTTCCATCATCACATTCCTCTTCTTAAGTAACAATTTAATCTCCACAAATAGAGTGACAATCATTATTTACAAATTCATATTCATTGCCACATTTCAATAAACATTATCCTTGATCACAAATATCACAACCTTCTATACATTGAAATTAACATTCATAACAACCATCAAAGGGTTCTAAATTCCCATCATCGCAATCCTCAAATTATTCTTGAACAATCCTATCTCCACAATAAGGATAACATTCTTATCCTAAACTATAATATCCTTATTCACATTCTAAACATTCTGTAAAATATGAAGCTTTACAATTACTAATAGTTATATATCTACAATTCTCACAACCACTTTAATTATTATCCTTTCTAAAATCACATTATTCACCTGAATATGGGATTACAATTCCATCTCCACATTTAGGATCGCAAGTATGGTTATTATTTATAATAAATCCATCTTCACATTCATAACAGATTCCAAATAAACATGTTATACAAAAATCAATACAAGAAAAACGACATTAAAAACAACCATCTTTATCTATTTGATTTCCATCATCACATTCTTCTTATCCTTGAATGATTTTATCACCACAAATAGGATGACAATTCTTAAAGTATTCATCTTAAATCCAACCATTTTGACATCTTAAGCATTAATCACCTTTCAAATCTATACAACCTTGTGAAAAATTTGGAAATTTAAATTCTGGCTCTGTGTAAAATAGTTCAAAATCTCGTATTAAACTTTTCAATTCCGAATCTTAAGTTCTAAAACTTAATTATAATATCGGATCTTGGTGATTAGTTATTAATATTTCAACTAAATGGTAATATTCATTAGTAGTTTTCTAAATCCCATATTTATAATCTAAGATAATAATCCCATTATCTCGTTTATAAAACCTTATTAATAAATCTTAATGAGGAGGTAGTTGAGTAGAATAATTAATTATAGTAAATTTTAAATATTAACAATATCCACAATAGAAATCCTGATAAACATCTAATGAAAAGCTCCACCCATCTTAAATTGTTATTAATTTATTATGAAATAAATATTCATGCAATTTCCAATTTAAACAACTTATTGGATGAATCTATATACATCCAATACATCCATACTAGCATGAGATAATACTTAATTTTAATCTTAATAATCCTCCTTAACCTAATTCAATTCTCATCCAAAAATTTCTTCTATTATGCTTACGAATTATGGTAATTGTTTTAAAATATTCCATATTCAAACCACCACAAACTTAGATTTCTTATGTTGGACTCTCTGAATCTTGGCTTTCAAGATTATTTTCTATAAAAAATTTTGGAACTATATAACCGTCAATGCTTATCTAATAAAATAAATATACCTAAGAATTTCTGCATCAATCCTATATTATTAATGAGATTCTAGATCCAAAAATACTCTGCTAATTTAATGGGTTTGAGCTTGCCCAAAATAAAATATATTTCCACATTTTAAGAAAGTTGACAAACCTTGCCAATCTAATGAATATAAATCATTTAAAAATTACCATCTTTTACTTGAGTACTTGCATCAAACTAATAAATCAAATTTTGGTTAGATATATAGACTAAAGTAATGATTAAAATCATTAGAAAAATAATGAATTTTTTATTATTTCAATT